TCTCTCTCTCTCTCTCTCTCTCTCTCTCTCTCTCTGTGTGTGTCTGAGTGTGCGTTTGTGTGTGTGTGTTTGTGTTTGTGTGTGTGTGAATAGGAGGGTAGACTAACTCTCGTGGAATGTAACTATGGCGCTCGGGGTGCTATTCGATTACCGTGTTCCCCCGAATATAGCGCACTCGCTTTAAAGTTGTATCCGTACTATCGGACTATAAAGAAAGCTTGTATATGGGTATTGCGGGGTGCGTTGTGTTCGGGGTAAGACGGGGAAAGACGGTAATAGTCGTACAAGGTCGCGATGTGACCTCGTCAGGAAAGGTAGGTCTATGTGAACGTGCCAGTTTTTTTTTTGTTTTTTTTTGTCTGATTTGGCCTTTTGTTTCTTATCCTTCAGGAGGTGAGTTCTTAGAATACAATCGTATCCAACCCCCCATCTGTGAATAAAAAAAAATGTAGTGGCTGTGGCTCTGGTTGTGGTTGTGGCTATGGCTATGGCTATTTTGTGGCTATGGCTATGGCTATGGTTGTGGTTGTGGTTGTGGCTATGGCTGCTATGGCTATGGCTATGGCTGTGGAAATTGCGATGACTATTGCTGTGACTCTTTGTTGAATCATCAGGGCATGGAGATGGGGCGTGTTTGCCTATTAATTTTGGGGCGATCAGCACAAAATCGTAATAGACATTGTTCAAGCTAAAACATGAGTAAATGGGCATTTTGTCTCGTTCGATGGGGGCGACCAAATAGTGAACCTGTATAGTCGGTTATAAATGACTACCGTAGTAGAGGAGGGGTGTACAACCTGTATAGTAGCATATGATGCATATCGATGTGGCCTACGTTAGTAATTTGAATGCCGGCACGACATTTCTGTTGTTTTGTGTTTTTGAGATTTCTGGAGCTCTGCTTCTTTTACGTTTGATGATGTCATTGTGTGAATTGGTGTGATTCTCGCTGAGCGTGCGCGACCTCCTGTTTCTTTATGTGCATGCTTTCGCATACCTGTGTGCGTTTCCAGATCCGATTATCCCTTCTCTTCCTCCTCCACAGATGTGTGTGCCTGTGTGTGTGTGCGTGTGTGTGTGTGTGTGTGTGTGTGTGTGTGTGTGTGTGTGTGTGTGGGACACTGTTTTAATGACTTTTTCCGTGTCCTCTTTCACGTGTTTGTGTGTGTGTGTGTGTGTGTGCGCGTGTGCGTGTGTTTTGCTGGCTCTGATGAAAAACTGTGCTCTTTAAAAAAATTTGGTTCTGAACCAAAAATTCTGATGAATTTTTGGTTCTGAACCAAAAATTCCTCCTCCTCTTCCTCCTCCTCTTCCTCCTCCTCTTCCTCCTCCTTCTCCTTCTCATCATCATCATCACTCCTCCTCTTCCTCCTCCTCCTCTTCCTCCTCTTCCTCCTCCTCTTCCTCCTCCTCCTCTTCCTCCTCCTCCTCTTCCTCCTTCTCCGTCTCCTTCTCATCATCATCATCAGCAGCAGCATCAGCATCATCATCATCGTCATTATCTTCATCATTGTCATCGTCGTCCGTGTCCTCATTGTCGTTCTCCTCCTCCGATGTTGTCCTGCCCCATTCTTTTTCCGTTGTCGTCTTCGGCCTCCTCCTCCGATCTTGTCCTGCCCCATTCTTTTTCCGTTGTCGTCTTCGGCCTCCTCCGATGTTGTCCTGCCCCATTCTTTTTCTGTTGTCGTCTTCGGCGTCCTCCGATGATGTTGTCCTGCCCCATTCTTTTTCCGTTGTTGTCCTACTCCATTTCTCTTTTTTTACGCTCTTGGTTTTGAATTTTGATGCCTAGGTGTGTCATTGGGTGACGTGCCACCCCGAGGAAAATCCAAAGGCAAGTTAGCAGCGGGGCTACTCTAGGGATAATTGGTAAATTGGTAATTACCACCCACGCCAAAACCTGACTTCGTTTGGGGCTGGGACTGTCGGCCCGGCAGTGCATTTTGTTTACTATTTTTTGTGATTTTTAATATTGGGTTGTTTTAATTTAAAGCTTATTCGGATGCTTTCATGTGGATTTGAACTTGGGTCACTATGTCAACAGTTCATGGGTGTACCAACTTGGGTAGGCCCTTTGTCCACGGAAGTACCTAAGGGGCCTAACTCAGTTGATATATCATATACCCATGAACGGCTCACATGAAGACCAGAGTTCGCATCAAGATACCACCAGATGACCAGATTCAAATCATTCTGAAGTACTTGTGGTCTGGTCAGTTCAAGGGGGAATCTTTTTTTTTCTTTTTCTTTTATTCCCAGCTGAAGACTCACGTCATTTGATTACCACCCAACAAAATGGAGGCTGCAACAAAGATATCTCAAGGCCGTCACCCTTTTTACAAACTATAAGGGGAAAAAAAAAAACTTGAAGACCCTTTCCATGTGCTAAAGGCTGAGCTATATGCTCTCAATTTCACCTTTTCACTACCTACCCTTTCCATGCGCGTCCGTGTGTGTGTGTGTGTGTGTGTGTGTGTGTGTGTGTGTGTTTTGTCATATTGTGTGTGTGTTTTCCCACCACTTGCGCCTTCGCCCGCTGTCGCGCCCCGTCTCGCCTGCGGGATGCCATTTGCCAGTGTGTGTGTGTGTGTGTGTGTGTGTGTGTGTGTGTGTGTGTGTGTGTGCGCGGGGGGGAGGTGACCCCCCCA